CGAGCTAAATATCTCGAAAAATTCAGTACGAAAAAAGTGAACTTTTTGGTTTATTTTTGATTTTTTCTTATGAAAATTAAATATTTCCGAAAATCTGATACTACCATGAAAAAGCTGATGAAAAATCCAATCGAAGCCATATTTTCATTTATTTTTTCCGTCAAATTACAATGATATACAAGCAAATTTCTTTTACTGTATTCGCTGTTTTCTGTTACGGAACTGTTTTAAGGGGACACACCTGTGTTTATGTCTATAAATGCAATAACATGAAAATTAAGGATTAATATTAAAATTTTTTGTTTCTTATGCTAAATTATGTTTTTACAGGTCCTTTTACGACAAAAAATTTGTCTGTAGTTCCTTTTGTTATTAAAATTCATCCAGGATTCATATATATTGAATTGTATTTTTTAAGTCCTTGACCGAATGATTTTGAGAACAACAATTATTCAATTGGATTCCTTTAGGTCTCAAAAGTTTTGTAATAAATTCTTTTCCACTTAAGTGTAGCAGATTTTTTATTTAGTTACTTTTTTAATCTACTCATCTCCAAATATAGCAATAAGCGTTATTAAAATAGCTATTTTTGTCATTTTCTTTGTACTTTTATATGAATAAAAATTTCCAAGCCTTTTCTTGAAATTCTGCTATGCTTAAGTGGAAAAGAATTTAATTACAAAACTTTTGAGACCTAAGGGAATCCAATTGAATAATTCTTGTTCTCAAAATCATGCGGTCAAGGACTTAAAAAATACAATTCAATATATATGAATCCTGGATGAATTTTAATAACAAAAGGAACTACAGAAAAATTTTTTGTCGTAAAAGGACCTGTAGAAACATAATTTAGCATAAGAAACAAAAAATTTTAATATTAATCCTTAATTTTCATGTTATTGCATTTATCCCCTTAAAACAGTTCCGTAACAGAAAACAGCGAACACAGTAAAAGAAATTTGCTTGTATATCATTGTAATTTGACGGAAAAAAAAATGAAAATATGGCTTCGACTGGATTTTTCATCAGCTTTTTCATGGTAGTATCAGATTTTCGGAAATATTTAATTTTCATAAGAAAAAATCAAAAATAAACCAAAAAGTTCACTTTTTTCGTACTGAATTTTTCGAGATATTTAGCTCGGCAGATTTGGTGATGATTTTCTCGATGAATATGCAATGTATCGAAAAATCTGAAATCGCCATCGGAAAGCTGAGAAAATTTCCTATCGAATGGAGTAGTCAGTCACTTTTTTTAAAAGAGTTTTGATACTTTTTCAGCTACTTGGAAATTGAGTGAATCGTCGTATTTACGCGAAAACATGACTTCTCGGGCCCTAAAACACAAAAGTAGCCAGAAAAAATTACCTATCTTCAAATTTCATGTTCACTCATTTTTTTAGCTTACTAGGACCTTCAAGAACAATACCCAATAGTATGCGACCAACGAAAAAAAATTTTTCGTTTTTAGTCGAAAAATTGGAAACTAAATTCCGGAATTGCTCACATAGATGTATGTCGTGCGTGCGTGTGCGTATACATAAGTATAATGACCGTGCGCGAATAGAAGAGGGTGGAGAAAGCTCGTCACGTTTCTACGTATACGTACATACATACAAATATATGTTACTATGTAGCTGAAAAAATGAGGTGCGGTTGGCTGCACTACGCCTACACACGTTCATTATCACATTATAAAAACAATGCATTTAAAGATTGAATATTATAATATTGTTGCCTACTATATTATACTGCTATAATACGAATACAAAAAAAAAATATCGACGCTCTGCCAACGTCGTCTTCGTCGCTGCCGACGCCGCTCGCATTTTGCGCCGCTGCCATCACCATCACCACCGCCGCCACCACCACCACCGCCACCGCTGCCTACTACTACTACCACTACAACTCTGCTGTTCTACTCTTTTATTTATTTTATAATTATACGAAAAGCACGATGACTCCTGTTTCTTTTGCGTGATTTGTTACATACTGCTATACTATCGTCGTCGTCGCAAGACATACAAAAGAATATATGATTAGCCTTGCTGCATTATTGTGGCCGAAGAGTCCGTGCACAGGTGTCGAGGATGTGTGTGTCTGTTTGTGTGTGTGTACACATTTCATCATCGCGACGCATTTATACACTCGAGACGCATACGAAACACGCACATTATGCGAACACATGGTAGCCACCACTGCTCCGTCGCCACTGCCACTGCCGCGCGAAGAAGCTTTTCTCAACTTGACGCCAAAAACCGCTCGTATCCTCTTCGCCCCCAACCTATAAGAATCGTGAAATTTTTGCACCCCTTGGGAAAGAAAAAATTTCATTTCGCTCGAGAGAGACATTCGAAGTTGAGATAGCGTCGGTATGTAATGCCATTACATAGTTATAGGCATGTAACGCGCGCTAGAATATAGAGAGAAACTCGTCGACCCGGAATGTCAAGGCAACGGACAAGTCGACTTTTAAACCATTATTTTTTTTTCTCATTCCATCTTTGCGCCTTTTTATCGGTTAATTAGCTTTTTGCGCATTAGTAGAGACGTAACACAACCCCGCATGATACACAATATATACGACGTTACACGCCATCCTTAATGGCACTAGTTTTCCATTCATTCATTCCAGTCGCATGCGCATTCCTTACAAAATCTTAGCTGCGTCACTCCTTTCTCCACGAGAGAGCTGAGGTCCAGGGACGCGAATATTATTATCGATGTATGGAAAAAAATCAACTCGAAATTCCACACGTCTCCCTTTTTTTCTCTCTTTTTTTCTACTTTTTCTTCTATCTCTTTCTTTTTTTTCTCGCGCGCGAAGTAGTGTGGTGATTCATTGCACATAATTTGCACGAGAGAGAGAGAGAGAGCTCAACAACTTTTTCCTTCGCCTTCGTCATTGTACAAATAACCGCATGTTTGAAATATATTAATTTCTCAACACGATGCCTCTCTACACACTACCAACATAAAGAACAACTACACCTCGTCGATCGAGCAGCAGCAGCGGCAGCGGCGGTGGTAGCAACAGCACCAATAACAACAACAACGACGACGATACACAGCCCACAGGCGCATTACCTCCTCTTCGGAGGGAGTACGCACGCAGCTTGTACACACACACACACACACACACACACACACAAATGCATACATACACTTATTACCTGTCTTTTTCTTTTTCTCTCTTACTCTTTTCATCCTCCTCTCTTACCGGTGCAGATAAGATTGTAAAATTTTTCGCGAATCCCTGCACGCACCCGCCGCCGCCGCCGCCTGTATGCTTAACCGGTTTCTCTCTTTCTCGCTCTCTCTGTATATATCAACTTGTTTTTCTCGTACGTATACATTATTTTATACACGTGCACACACGTGCAAGTGGCGTGTGTGCGTATACGTATGTATATTTTAATATATGCCTCTCGATACACGCGTACCGCAGTCGCCGCCGGCCGCCACCACCACACGCGCCGCGCGCGATAAGGAAAATAAGATTGAAACGAGGTAGAGAGAGGACTCGATCTTCTCTACTGCATACAACTTACATACAGATTTTCTATACCTGTATAATATGGCTACTACTACCAGCCACAGCATCGAACGGGCAGGTGGAGAGAAAGATGTTACGTGGACGCGCGTTTGTGCGGCATTATTTGCTGCTGCTGTTTGCCGCTCTGCCGTTGGTCTTGGTACATTACACTACACACACATACACACGCACGCACTTTGCTATATACATCTCGTTGTGTCCGTATAATGTGTGTATGTGCAGTATATATGTGGGAATATTTTTTTTGTTTTTTTTTTTTTTTGATAAATAAACCGGCAGTATTGATAGTCGCACACGTGCGCAAAACAAAAAAAGATTTAACTAAAAAAAAATCATGATATGTCTTTGATTAATTTTCTACTTCTTTATGCTCTCTCTCTATCTGATCTCTCTCCTGCTCATTCTTTGTTCACATGACTCACATACTAATAACCAAGCAAAAATCGTTTTGATCATTCGAGCTTTTTTTTCACTCAATTAAAGTCGTATATCGCTCGTGATTGTAGCAAGAAAATATTGAAATTTCAGTGTGAATATTTGTGAATGCGAAAAACGGCGAAAAACGCGCGATACGAAGCTCGGTATATCGACGGCGACTGCTACTATATACGTACGGGGCTAATGAAATTAAAAGGATGCCGAAGCCAGTGCAAAGCACCGAACTCATTCAAACGCGCTTTTGCTTACATACGACTGTCTGCATGCGGGTGCGGTGCGGTGGCGCTGCTGCTGCTACGCGCGATGCCTTTTCGGGAAAAAAGCTCTCTCTCTCTATATATAAAGACTTTAAAAAGTGCAGAAAAATACTCTCTCTCTCTCTCTCTCGGGGTTGATGGAGAGATGATATGAACGGGACGAAAAAAGGGCATTTGAAGGTATTCATGGGTAGGTTAAAAACTTGTGCTTCGTGGAAGCCCTTGACTATAATAATCCAATTTTTTGCCAACGTTTCCTTGCGAATCAATGTCCGGTGTGTGAGTCTTTTTTTCTTCTTTTCGAATGCAAATAAAAATATCTACTCAAGCTCGTTGGCATCGTTTACCCAAAGTTCGTGACGGGAAAAATGACTAGATGGGTTGTAGCTTTCACGAGTTGTTATTGAAAAAAGGACTATTACAATTTGGATGATAATGTCGAGTGAATAACGAAGACGGTGTAGAGATTTTTTTGACGAAGCTCGATAGTTTGCTTTATTTTTTCGTTTGTAAGTAAAATATGCGGTATAAACTTTTTACAAAGTAAGCTCAATTTAAATTTCGTTTAAAAATATTTATGGAAAAACCCCTTGACTACATTGAAGCGCGGAAAAAATACACACACACCCGCACACAAATTCCATCACTCTCGTGCTGTCTCTCAATCTCTCTTTCTCAATCTCTGTCTCTCTCTCTCTCTCTCTCTCTGCAAAAATATAATGTGAGCCTCCCTCTAAAACACCAATATAGAATCCCGCGCGTTATCGGCCGCGCCGCTCGAGCAGCCCGTCGTCTTTGGGCCTCATGTCAAATTGGAAAAGGCTGCGCAAACGATTTAAGTCCCGAGTGCAGGCAATGGTGGCGGCAATGGCAGCGGCGACGGCGGCGGCGACGAAGGCAGCTTCGGCGTCGGCGGCAACAACAACAACAACAACAACAACAATACCAATACCTCCTGCATTCACAACAACAATATCAACATCAACAAAATCAACAACAAGCACTACTCCTATTGGCACTACTACTATCGCTAGCGCTACTGCTACGCCCAATAATAGCGTTGAAGTCTACGGGCAGAGCAGCAACAGCAGCCACCACAACAAGCTACAGCATAGCGTTACGCTCTGCTTGCAGGCCCAGCGTCCGGAGCAGTCGGTCATGCAGGCACTGGAGAGCCTGAGCGACTCGCAGGTCAACGATTTTCTGTCGGGCAAGGCGCCGCTCAATCTCACCATGCGACTCGGCGATCACATGATGCTGATACAGCTGCAGCTGAGCACGGTGACGCCCGCGACGACGAGCGTCGTGGCCCAGGTGCCGCCCAGCGGCGCCGGTAGTCAGCAGCAGCAGCAACAAGTCAGCAACAAGCCTATGGTCACATCGTCGTCGTCGTCGTCGTCGTCCGCGACGTCGACGTCCAGTTTTCCAGCAGGCTGCAAAGTTCAACAACCCTCGCCGCAACAACAGCTGACGTCCTTGGAGTCGGCCACTCCCGACTCGTCGATTCACACCGTCTCCAAGTAAGCCCCTGAAAATTTCTTCTTTGCTGTTATAATGTATACGGTTTCTGCGAAGCTCCTCTAATCTATTCTCTCGTGTGCATTTAAACGTTTTCAGGCGGCCGTCGTCGTCGAATTGCGCCACGACGAGCGGCAGCAGCAGCAGCAGCAGCAGCAGCAGCAGCAGCAGCAGCAGCGGGTCTGCTACGAGTAGTACATCGACGAGTCCGCAGCAACAGCCACAACCGCTCAAATTATTGTCACCGGTGACGACGCCCACCACCGCTACTACGGGCGTCAGCAGCAACAGCAGTAGCGTCTTCGACACGCCGAGCCCGACGCCACCCAGCACGCCGACCTCGCCCACGATCGTCTTCTGTCCACAGTCGCAACAACAGCAACAGCAGGCGTCTTCGCCCGCGGCCAGTTCGTCGCCTACGCCATCGTCGGCTACGTCGACGGCTGCATCCACGTCGTCCGTCGGTCGGGCGTCGCCGCGCTACCGTCAGACTCTGATGTCGGCGAGGCATCCCTATCACCATCATCATCACCACCATCACCATCACCAGCATCAAATAACCACGCATCAGCAGCAGCAGCAGCAGCAGCAGCGACCCTCCACGCGCAAACACAGCCAAGGTTTGCATTTTTACTTTCTTTTTCTTCTTATATAGTTGCTCTTTGAGCGCGTAGCGTGGGTGTATCGCGCGTGTTGTGTATAGACACAGAGACGCTATATGTGTGTGCGCGCGAAAAAAAAACCTTACGTAGAAGGAAGCACCTGAGTGAGAGATGGCATCATCCCGCTTTGGCTTCTTGGCGAGCGAGAGACCTACCGAGATAAAGCCTGATAATCATCGCCAGCCGAGCTTCTTTCTCTCTTCAATAAATACACCTGTTATATATCTATCTATCTCTCTGTACAACGTGTAATATTAGTGAATAAAATCTATACACAGCTGCCCTATACGGAATATGGCATGTCAACGCTTATAAATGCGACCATTCGCATGCGGAATTCTTTCGTGCGCAGTACTACGCGTTAAGGGGTTTCAAAAAGCGGGGCTCAGCTCTCTCTCTCTCTCTTGTTGTGCCTCTCTCTCCCTGCTTGGCTTCGGTTTATTAATTCTATTTGAGCAGAGGCATCTATATGTACGATGTATGTATACGCTACGTAGTGCACACCCTCGACCGGGAGAGAGAGAGAGAAATCCCGCGAGCTTCGATTTACGTAAGCGAACGCGCGCCGCGTAATTAATCATCATCATATCTCCCTCTCTTAATTGCCTTGAATTTCCATTGATTTTCTTCGCTTCTTGTTTTATCGCAGGAAAATCGCCCTGTTGCAACGCACAGCAGGCCTGCAGCAGCAGCAGCAGTCCGGCGTCCGAGCTCTCGGTCACCCTCAATCAGCAGCAATGCGACTGCGTTAAATTGCCAAAGAAAAAGCACCCGCAGCAGACGGCTGTGTCGGCGACGACGACCAGCGGCGGTGCAGCGACTGTAGATCAAGCGCAGCATCACCATCAGCCGCCGCAGCAACAGCAGCAGCCTCAGCTCAGCGGGGCAATGGCGCCGGGTGTGGCTCATCATCATCATCATCATCATCATCATCATGCAACAGCCGCCGCCGACATGACGTTGCCCGAGGCGGTCGCGATGAGCGGGGCTGCCGCGGCGGCGAGCCCCAATGCAGCGACGCCCACCCTCGACACGCGGGCCCTCGTTGAGGCTTCGCGAAATCTGACGCAGAAGCTGAAGCAGCTGTCGTCCGAGGTACGTATGCGCGATCGATTTTCAGCCAAGCCCTTCGTACCTATAACGCGGGGCACCCCCTTTGTATAATATGTACGTGTATACGTATGTAAGGGGCTCTGCGGCAGACTAATCAAAGCGAGAGAGATGTACGTGAGTGTGTGACTGACGCCCAACTAACTTTTTTTTTTCATTTTCCTGCCGCAGGAGAACGCGAAGCGTCGCCAGGGAGCCATAATCGAGAGCATGCATCATCACGGCAAGGGCGTCTACACCGGAACGTTCAGCGGCACCCTGAATCCGGCCCTGCAAGACCGTCACGGCCGACCGAAGCGTGACATCAGCACGATCATTCACATACTCAACGATCTGCTCTGCGCCACGCCCGCGACCAGTCCCAACGGCCACTACAGGTATCACAGGCCGGCGGCGGCCGCGTCCTCGTCCAGCGGCGGCGGCGGCGGCGGTAATGGCGGTGGCAGCCATCATCATCATCACCATCACCATCATCATCACCATCATCAGCGTTCCTCCTCTACGGCGACGGCCACGCAGAGTTCCGCGACGGCGTCTGCGGCGGCCTCGTCCACGGTGGCTCCCGTTGCCAATGCCGTGCAGTTCGTTGCTAACGCGCCCGTCACCTCGATCGTTGGCCAGCCAACGCCGATCGAACTGCTCAGCTCGACCAGTAGTAACGCCAACAATGCCTATCCATTGTCGCCCGACGCTGTGCCGCACAATAATGGTTCGTACGCACGCTAACTTATATTTATTTTCTTTATTTTCCCATTGTGCTTTAGAGAGGGAATTGCATATTAATCAAAACTTTTCTTTTTCGCGTAGACGAGCTGTCCAGAGAAAACGAGGCAACGAAGGGAAAGATGGAGCGTCTCCGTCTCGTCATGGAGCAACGACGCGAGAAGATGCGCGCGAGGCGACAAGCTCGCGCGGCACCTTACACGACCAAATGGGCGGCGGTGCCAAATCCGGATCCCAACGCCTCGGCTTCGGCCTCGACGGCGGCCAGTGCGAACGCCAACAAAACGACGGCCGACGGCCAAAGCGAACCCGAACTACAACCTTGCAGTCCCGAACCCGTTATAGCTTAGTTGAAGCAGTCGACGATTGCAAAGTCGTGCGTTTGAGGAAGAAAATAGTAGTATCACTGATTCAAGTGAACCTCGCCAATATAAAATTCGATACGAACATTGCGGTTACAACAGCCCGTATGTGGTCGGATACATTATTAAATAATTATCCTTTTTTTTTGTTTTTTTATTTGTTTTTGTTTTAAATGACGTATTTTTCGTACGTCTTCCTGTGAGGATCGATTGTAAGCACGACCAAAATGTAGCTAAATAAACTCAATTTGAGGTTTTATGATCGATTGATCATTTTGAAAGCAACAAGCAGAAGCTATCAATATACATATTATAAATATATAAATATATAAATAAATACTACATGAATATATAGATTAAGTTTAGCTAAATAATTGTAATACATGTAAAAGAAAAGCGAGTCAACGCAACCAAGTTGGCGTACTATGATTAACTATGCAAAGTAGGTTTATATGTTTGTAATAATTGAAGAAATCGATATATCGAGGCTTTGGTGTAGGAAATTGAAAATCTTGCACCACATCATCGAAATTAACATTGTATCACCTTCTATCTTTCTATATCTGTGTGCTGTGACGCTTTTGTTCCTTTTTGTAAAAAAAAAACTACCACTTGTTTATTTGTTTAAGCGTTGTGTACCTATATGCTGCTAATTCACATATATTTATATTATAAATAAGGAAAAAAAGTTAATCGACGCCCAACCACGTCCAACAGAAAGGTTTTCCTCCAACGATGCGAGGTGGTATTAGCATTTCAACTTTTAATACCCATCGTTACTATGGTGTATGGCTTATTGTTACGAAAAATTCTAGAGAAGTTGTAACTACGTTTGGTTACGTGAGCGGACTCCAAGCCTCTTTTCTGATGTATGAATTGTAGTTAATTAATGGAATAAGATACAGAACGTAAAATATGCCGAGCAGTCATACACGTACACTCACTTGAATGAAAAAAATAATATTGCAAAAGTGTTCACTCAAACGATGTTACTTTGTTTTTTATAAAGTACATCTTACATGAATATAATTTTTATATAAAAACATAAGACGCAGAATTTTTGATCGTTTTGTTGTTTTCTTGTTAATCTGCTGAAAGCCTCCAACCGCGATTGCGTACTCGCATGTGAAATGGACCACTTTGCTCGATTGATGACAACCTTTTTTTAAAATCTGAACCATTGTCACATTCATGGTCATTCATGTAAAATAGTAGCGTGAAAAAATTCAATTCAATGGCTTGTGAGTGCTACTGTGGTTGTTCAAGTTTATTAGGCACTAAATACCGCATCACTTCCTAGGTGTAACTATAGATTTTTCTTAGGCAAATTATTATTGTACTGTCTTATTATTATTACTATCATTATTATGATATTCATTAATATTATTGTCATCATTATTATCATCATTATTATTGTCAGCTCGAGACGTTGGTTATCCATAAATAGCTATACAAATATTTTCATTGCATTTCCACCAATGAAGATAGTGTAATGTAAATAATAAAAGTATTTGAACTTTGTCCGAGTACCAAAATGATGAATGAGAACTGCTTGATAAGTCAAGTACATAGTCGAACTGCGATTTTGCTTGAATTTGTATCTAGGCGTCTTGACCACGGCGTTACATGTTGCTTATTTGTTATAATCGTTGTTATTGCGCTAAAAAGTTGCTTTAGCTGAATTCGGTTCTTGAAAGATCGCTTGTCCAAGCTTTAGTCTTGATCATTCTTAGTAATTGAATCAATAAGCAATTTTTTTTACTTAAAAAGCAAGAACTTTACTTTCTTCTTGTTCTTTCGTTGTGATATAATATTGAAAGATTGTAAGATGATCGAGATCACAGAAGCAGGAGAAACTTTCTTCAAAGTAATATTGACTAGTGTAATATTATATGATGTGTATTATATAATGCTGCATTAGTTGTTAATAATTACGAATGCAAAAATGTATTCGAGTTGAGTTTATTAAATATTTCAATATTTTTAGGAAAACAATTAGTTGTTTAAACTTCCTTTATTAAATTATCATTTTATACTACATGTGATTGTAGAAATCTGTCGATGTTTTGTGTGGCGCAATTACAGTTTTATATCTTGATTAATTTCTGTATTAATCGCAGTATGAACTTGATGACAATACAATTATAAAAAGAAAAAAAAATCATCAAGATAACTCCGTGGTCTTCTTGGTGTAAGGTTAAAAAGCAAGTGTACAATTTTCGTATACACGCGATACGATTAGAAAATACTTTTTTGATTGTTTTTCGATTAGCGCTGTCAATAAATCAAAAATGCTGCATTAAAAAGTTATTTAAATTTGTAATTTTTATTTTTCCAATATTTCGAACAATTTTCCATTTTAAAAAATTTTGTTCTGTACATGTGAAAAATTTTTAATATTTCTGAAATTTCTAAAATCGTTCAGTGATATTAACTAAAATATAGTTTAAAAACAATTTGAGATAATATTTACAAATAATGTACAATAAAATAAAGCAGTGCATCGATTATAAAAATTAATAAAAGTACACTAAGATTTAGTGCAAGTTGAAATGAATACCAATTTAATATTTATTTCCTAAAGTTTCACACTCCCAAATTCACTCGAAAACGTATTACATAAATAATTCCTAAAAAATATTTTTTTCATCTACAAAGCGAACTCCTTTTAATAACTAATATTACGAACCTCGAAAAAAATCGAGTCACAAGACAAGAGACACAATCGTAAATCAATTGTCGATTATTGAAAAACGATCAATGAACATAATATCAAAAAGGTTCAATGGAGTGGCGCGTACAATTGGACGGGAAGGATCAAGTTAAAAAAGTGCCCTAATTCTACACGTTTCACCATTATTTTTTCTTCTTTCAAATGTAAAAATCAAGTCAAATTTACAATTATGGCACGATACGGTATATGCTATAAAAAGTTCGCGATTGGATTTTTTTTACAACGTAGAAAAAGCGCTTTGAAAAATTTTTGCGACGCAAATTAATTTTTTTTTTGGCATCCGTCAGCGGGTAAGTATAAAAAATGTCTTAGCTTTGCACAGCTGCAGCGGAAGGGGGCGGGCGATAGCGATTAAAGATTGTTGTTTTATCTGTGTCCGTAGATTTGATTAAATTGACTCCTGTCTCTCTTTTTTTTTTAATTGCACCAGTCAGCCGCTGCAAAAATTCATTACAGCGTTTATTATTTTTCTTATTCACAATATAATGAAAGCCTAGCTAAGGATGTGCGTCAGTCGAATAAAACGACGCGAATTTAAAAAAAATGCAAATCTCTATTTAAAATACCTAACGTTAAAGCCTATAGATATGAGTTCAGTTTGTTAAAAAAATCGATTGTATATGTAGTTTCAGTAGAGATTGATTTTTTTGGTAATAGTTTGGCGACACATGTGGCACGTCGTCAACGGGGCGGCGCACTTCTCGCAGGCGCCGTGGCCACACAGAAACGCCACGTTGCGCTGCTTCTCCATGCAGATGCCGCAATTGTTGGCGTCCTCTAGGTCGGCTATCCTCGTCTCCAAGTATCGCAGCCTTTCCAAATTTTTATCCCTGTCGAATTTGTCGTTCATCTCGGAGTTTCGACTCTTCGATTTCTCCTTCTCGATCTCTTTCTTCAGCTCTTCCTCGTTCAATTGAGAGTCTATTAAAATATAAAAGAAAATTCAAAATGTAATTACTATTCTCGCTTTGGCGATTGCTTGTCATGTTTTACCTTGTAGCCGAGTGGCGTAACCGCCGTCGTTGCGTCCCAGTTGATTCACCTCACCGGTACAATTGGCGTCGGCGATATGCAAGCCACCCATCTCCACAACGATGGTATCTTGCCGACTCGAAGGCAGAGGCTCTCTCGGTCTCAATTTATAAGCTCGGGCAAAATCGACGTGAGGCGCGAGTTTCTGGTCGGCGAGCATCAAGCTGAGCGGCGATTCGCCGTCTTTATTTTGCAGTTGAAGTAAATTACCGGTCGGGTCTCTCGATGAGAAGTAACAGATGACTAAGAGTTCAGACGCCGGCATATTCGATCCTTGAGCCACTATCTCGTAGTAAACCTATGATAAATTTGACAAATATCGTGAGTACGCAGCTGGACTTTATAACAATTAACACTTAGCAAATACCTGATGCAGATGCGGCACGACCCTTGGATTCAACGAGTGACGTATCGTCGAACTGCTGTGCTGCCGACACTTGGTCACGGCGATGTGCAGTGGCGTGTCGCCGTCCTCGTCCTGGCAAAAGATGTCGGCCTTGTGCCTAGCCACGAGCAGCTCCACCAGCGCCAAATGGCCCTGCGAAACGGCCAAGTGCAGGGGCGTCTGGCCGCGATTGTTGCGCAGATTCACCTCGGCCTTGCCGATGTTCTCCGCCAGCAGCTTGGCGGCGACGTCGCAGTGACCGTTGAGCGAGGCCAGATGCAGCGCCGCGAAGCCGTCCTCCTTCTTCACGTCGACCAGTTGCCGGGCCCGCATCAGCAGTCGCTCGGTGGCTCTGGCGTTGCCCTTCAGGGCCGCGTGATGCAGCACGTTGAAGCCGCGCTTGTTTCTGAGCGTGTAATCGAAGCGGCTCGTCGAGCACAGCGCGTCGAAGATCTCGGTGGACTCCTTGCCGATGGAGTCGTGCAGGCCCGTATCGCCGTACGAGTCCTGGAGATTGACGTCGCAGCCGTGCCGCAGCAGCGTCCTCACGCACTCCGGGTGCTGCTTGTTGACGGCTACGTGCAGGGCGCTGCACAGGCCGTTGTTGACGGCGTCTATCACGGCACCGCGCGATAACAGCAGCTCCATTATTTCCGCTTGATTGCTGCGTATACATACATCGCATTTTCGCGTGCATTAATTATTACATTGATTTCTCAGAAATGACGATAAACGCGAACTCGATGAGAATTACCCGAAAGCCGCGTAATGCAGTGGGGTGTCGCCGTCGTCGTCGGTGACCGTGAGCGAGGCGCCAGCTTCGAGAAGCAGATGGCACAGCTCACGCTGACCCTGATGAGCGGCGACCTGCAGACAGGTCTTGCGACCCCCGCTGGGACCCGCGCGAGCGTCCACCTTGCCCGGATGCTTGCGCAGGAACTCCTTGATCGCGGGTATGGCCGCCTTGCCGCGCACCGCGTCTCGCAGTAGCTTCTCGACCTCGACGTCCGTCGCGTTGCTACTGCTGCTGCCGCTGGCCGGCGAGCTGCTGCTGCTGTTGTTGTGCGAAGAATTCAAAGACTCGTTCAGTAAAGAAGAGTCACCAGCTGGAACGAGGGTGACGCAGAGAGGGTTGAACGTCCAGGATTGACCGCCCGCTTCGATTCTCACGTCGCCGTCCGGATAGGTCTTGATGATTTTGCCAGTCTTTCCGAGAACCTGTAATCGCGTTCACGAGTCGTGAAGATCGTTTGCTTTTTTTTCTTTTTTTTTTTTACTTTTATTGTTGTTTTTGCTTCTTTACTTACGACTTTCATCGCGTCGATCCATTCTCCGTGACCTCGCTGATAGTGCCTGACCGCGCTCATGTCCGATTTCACTCTGACGACGTCGCCGACTTTGAAGTTCTCGCGACTCACGATCTTCGTCAGCGCGCCCGGATGAAACGTCCAGCGATTGTTGCAGCCCTCATACTGTATTCTGATGTCTCCCTTATCCGTGACTCTGTGAACTGTGCCGATCTACGCAAGGAACGAGAGGGACACTTTTTTAATTTATTCAGGGGATAATCGAGCGATTAAGAGCGAGGATTAAGAACGTACTTTTCCAACGTAATCGGCCATGCGAGGATTCCAACCACCATGACCCGCCTGCATACCCTTCAAAGTCTCAATATCAATGAGAACCTTGACTCTGTCGCCCACCATAAATTTCTGTACGTGATTGGGACTGGGTAAGTTTGATATGTTGACTGCGTTCCCTGTGACGTTTTTATTAACGGTTTGCATGTTCTGAGGATGTCCCAGATGAGGCAAGTGTTCCTTATAGTAAGTACCGGCGGTTGCTTCCTCTATGTAGGATAAGTCTACGCAACCTTTGTAACCTAGTCGATAAACATTTGTGCTTCCTGACACCCAGGTGACTGTAGCTACCGATCTACAGCTCTCGTTGTCCCATCCACGTATATCTATAACTCTGCCAGTCTTTCTTCTTCCACCATCTTGCTCGCCCCATTCCCAATCTGGTCCTCTCATCACTTTGGCTCCTATAAATATTCCCTTCAAGAGTATTTTTGTACAGTTTTTTCTTGGAGGTAAGTCAACCCTAAATCATAATAAGAAATGGTTTACAATGACAGATCAAAACAAGATTAGAAGAAAAATAAGAATCTTACTCACCCTACGGATTTGTAAGTAAAAAATCTAATAAAAGTATGCTCCAAGTCATGAACATCAGACATGTAGCACTGAGTGCAGAGATCATAGTCCGAGCACTGAGAACACTTCCACCTTATGCCAATGATACCATGCACCGAACAACCATCACAGATAATGTTGGGGTGTCTGACTCCTGCAGCTGCATTGTCAAATACCAGCAGGTCATATGCCTCCTGGTAGCCTATGCGATAATTGCTTCTGACACCTCGATCCCACTGTACGATGACAGTCTTGTCCGGTGTCTTGTCGACCAGACTGTTGACATTGGAGCCAGCCACTGCGGCCGTGCCTCCTCCACCAGGAGTCGTGCTGGCTGGCTTGCCAATCTCCACCACGGTGCCAGCGTGACCCTCGCCGCCGTCCTGGTCGGCCCATCTCCAATCCTTGCCGCGAACGACGCGCAGGCCCACCTCCAACATCTTCTTTCTGTGTGTGTGTGTGCGTGCGTGTGTATCTAGCTCTATCGTCGACGATGACAGCAGCTAGCAGCACAACGACGATAAGGGTGGAAAATGATCACGTATGACTCACTGCTCGCACTCATGATGATTCTTCCCCTTCGTCGCGTCGTCGAATCATCGCTCGAGATCCATGGAGATCGATGGGAAAGCTGCATTTTATAGAAAAGAACCTGATATGAGCTCGCTTTCGTAATGAATCAAGCGGACGTGCAATAATTATTTCCACACGTTAGAAAAGTCGAGTTCAACAGCAGCACGCATCGCGATAACACTACGCACCGATGCAACAACACATACACACAGACAGACCAGAGATATTACAAACCTCGAAGTTTGGAAAGCAGACGCTCCTCGGGCACGATCGTAATATAGCTCATTTATGGTCAAGCTTCAACACTGTGTTATTGCTGCTCACTGAAAAAGGTCGAAACGATTGCTGCGGAGCTCGATCCACTCGTACTGTATCGGAGTCGAGTCGATGATCAACGACGACTACCGCGATGCGCTGCTGCCTTAACGTCAACATTACGCAGTTATTATGGATCGCTGCCCGACGGCGTGTATAATTAATTATCGGCACATCTAAACTCGCTTTGAATTATAATTATACGCTACTTGACGCTTGTTCGTACGTGTGTGCGTATCCCCATACGTGTGTGCTATTTCGCTGTCGTATACTTGTGTATAATATAGCAGTCGTTCAGCGGGGAACGGCTTCACGTCGCGACTCATGATATACACACACTACCCGTTTCGGTTATATTCTGCATGTGTGTGGTACAAGCACGATACGGACTTGTGTACCCATCAACGCGCGCCATATCATCATAATAAACCCCAGCGCACAAGCGTAGCAGCGAATAGCGCGAGGCCCGTATGTGTGTGCGTATATGTATGGCAACTCCACCAGATGGGCTGCGGCTACTCCCACTCGTATTATTTTCGACTTTTGCAAATACTTACGCACGCAGACATCGTCGATTGATAAAGTAGAAAGTTCGCCGCCATGCGATTGTTGTTGATTTGTTTATATGTATGATTATAGCGCGGCGCAATGTTTACAAATTCAAATGTTTCACAGCTATGGATGTCTTTGGACGGGTGGAAGGCTTGCTGATTAAAAATTGCCAATTTCAATTGAACTTTGTTCTAATATTTTTGGCTGGATCAGCGCCCCCTTTGTATACACACCCTTCCATCGACCATGATGGATTGTTTGATGATCCGGCACCCAAGCGGTTGCGGAGCCTCCACCTTTAACCTAGATCTGCGGTGCATCCGCAGACGTGTGTTTTGCCGAAATTACATGCGACGCGTCCAAAGCTGGCATAATTTTGTGAAAAATTATAAATAAGAAAGGGTAGGTAACGATCGAAATCTACTTTATAACTTAATTTTAATGACAGTTGATTTCGAAGCTGTGAGTGATAATAAACTGTTGTTGTTTGTCAACACTGTACTGTCACAGATATAGACAAGCTGCAAAACATGAGTCGTTTTTTCGCAACTGGCTCGGATTCGGAGTCTGACAGCTCGTCCGAGGAGGAGCAGGTTCAACGCGCGCCGGCGGCAGCTTTTACCGTGAGTATTCAAATTCATCAATTTTATGAAATAAATATTTACAACGTTCGATATTGATTTTTAACAGTACAGCGACGAAGAAGAAGAAACCAAGCGGGTGGTCAGATCCACCAAAGAAAAAAAGTATCAACATATTACGAATTTGATCAAGTTGATCAGAAATCAAAAGAAAATCAAGGATATCAATCCCATGCTGAGTAGTAAGTGTATTTAATTTTTTACGTGTAATTCTTTCATAGTGAGATTATCTAAAAGTATGGTCATTTTTTTACAGCTTTTGAAGATTTGACTAAAGCGTACAGTAAGGCATTGACTGTCATTAACAAAGAAGAAAATGGAAAGACTCCAGTTTTTTATCTGCGTATCTTGGTTGAGATTGATGATTTCATTAAGGAAGTTTGGGAAGACAGAGAAGGGCGTAAAAATATGTCAAAAACAAACTCTAAGGCATTGACATCTTTGCGCCAGAAGCTAAGAAAATATATCAAAGAGTATTTTGAAAAGGAAATTGAAACATTTAGGGAAAATCCACTGGATGATGATGAGGAAGAATTTAAAGGTAATACTCAGTTTCTTATTCCGAAAAACAATTTATAACTAAATAATTTATATTCTGTTAATTGTCCGTAGATGAAGCAGAATCTGAAGACAATGATGATCAAGCAGCAGATTTCAAGAAGCAGGAACCCATTCCAGATGCTTCTAAATTCAAGGTAAGATTTTTTATTTCAAATCTGTTATAATTCATTATCAGACAAAAATTTATTTCATGATCTTTTTATAGAAAGGAGCTGTTGATGATGATGGTAGTGATAGTGACTCAGATTGGGGTAGCAGTTCAGATGATGAGAGTTCTAGCAGCTCAGGTGATGATAAACCAGTGGCTGGACCTGATTATTTCAGAAAAACAGCACAAAAAGATGGAGACGAAGAACAGAAACAAATAAGAAAAGAGCATCGTAAAGACCGAAAAGAAAAAGATAGAAGACACAAACGTGAAGAAGATGATGGAGAAGGAGAATGGGAGACTGTTAAAGGAGGAGTTGCCATTCCATCTGAGAAACCTAAAATGTTTGCTAAAGATGAAGAAATCAATACAGTTGCTGTCTTGAAAAAGTTGAATGAAATTATAGCTGCTCGTGGAAAAAAAAGGACTGACAGGAGGGAACAGATTGAGTTGTTGCATGAGCTGCAAGCAATTGCTGAAAATCATAATCTTACTGCTGCATTAGTAAAGATAAAGTTTTGCATTGTCTCATCTATCTTTGATTACAACCCAAAAGTATCCGATGCAATGAAACCAGAATATTGGTCAAAGTAAATGTTGCCTCCTGAATAATTATTTCATATTTGTTACTTAATGATATTCACTTTTGAAAATTTATTTTTTACAGACTTTTAGTGCGAATTACGGAAATGTTGAATCTGCTCTTGAGTACAACTGACATCGTCATTGCTGAGTCTATTGGAGAAGATGAAGAGGAATATGAGAAAGCACCTTTTAAATTGCATGGCTGCGTACTCACTTTGGTGGAAAGATTAGATGAGGAATTCATTAAGCTTCTAAAAGAATGTGATCCTCATAGTAATGAATATGTTGAAAGGTACTAATTTTAATTACTTTTGATGACTTTACTTTTTATTTATATTATCGAAAAATAAATTCTAGACTCAAGGATGAAAAACAAGTATGTGCTACTATTGACAAAGTTCAAGAATATCTTGAAAGACAAGGATCCGTGTCAGAGCTCTGCCGCATTTACATTCGTAAAATAGAACATTTGTATTACAAATTCGACCCAAATGTTTTGAAGCAAAAAGACGTAAATATCTGTTCCTATTTAAATCATTTACAAAAGGTTTTATACATTCGTGGTCTATAACTAACTGTATTTCAGGGTGAAATCGGAGACGACGTCGTCACCGCAGTCCAAGTGATGGACAAGATGTGCAAGTACATCTACTCGCGCGACGAGACCAATCGCATCAGGACCCGAGCCATGCTGTCCCACGTCTATCATCACGCCCTGCACGACAACTGGTTCAAGGCCCGCGACCTGTTCCTCATGTCGCATCTGCAGGAGACCATTCATCACTCCGATCCTTCCACGCAGATCCTGTACAATCGGGCCGTCGCCCATCTCGGCCTGTGCGCGTTCCGTCACGCCAACATCAAGGACGCCCACGCCTGCCTGCTGGACCTGATGATGACCGGCAAGGTCAAGGAGGTGCTGGCCCAGGGTCTGCTGCCGCAGAGGCAGCACGAGCGCAGCAAGGAGCAGGAGAAGATCGAGAAGCAGCGTCAGATGCCGTTCCACATGCACATCAATTTGGAGCTGCTGGAGTGCGTGTATCTCGTCTCGGCGATGCTCATCGAGATCCCGTACATGGCCGCTCACGAATTCGACGCCAGGAGAAGAATGATCTCCAAGACTTTCTATCAGCAGCTACGATCGAGCGAGCGCCAGTCTTTGGTTGGTCCTCCGGAATCCATGAGGGAGCACGTTGTGGCCGCTTCCAAGGCCATGCGCAACGGCAACTGGACCGCCTGTAACAACTACATTATCAATGAAAAAATGAATGCCAAGGTTTGTTAAAAATGTCAAGGAATCATTTGTTGATCTCAAACTGAACGGAATGTAATTCTCAGGTTTGGGATTTATTTTATCAAGCTGACAAGGTGAGGGCTATGCTCTCCAAACTTATCAAAAAGGAGGCTTTGAGGACGTACCTGTTCACTTACTCACACGTATACGATTCAATATCGATGCAAACTTTGGCTGAATTGTATGAGTTACCGAAACCAGAAGTTCATATGGTTATCAGTAAAATGATCATCAACGAGGAACTAATGGTTAAAGCAACATTTGTAATTTTTTTCGCTTTATTTTTCGTACCTCATAACGAATTTTATTATTTCTTCAGGCTTCTTTGGATGATCCGACGCAGACGGTCGTTATGCATCGTAGCGAGCCGAGTCGTTTGCAGTCATTGGCTTTGCAACTCACCGATAAAGTCAACAATTTCGTTGATTCCAACGAGCGAATATTTGAAACGAAGCAAGGAAACTTCTTCCGAAATCAAGGAAACTATCGCAACTTTAATAGACAAGATTGGGGAGGACGTCAGAGACGCGATCGCGATCGCGATCGTAATCGCGGCGATGACAATAGAAATAACCATTAATTTTTAATACATTGACTCTTACTTTTTGTGAGTTAATTTAGGAGTGGTTCCATTGATAGTAAAATAACAAATGTCAATCATATGCATGTTGACGTAACGTTGAAAGCTATCAACACAATAGTATTTGATAATTAATTGTATATTTTTTGTAATTCAGCTTTTTTATTCATCTAGATGTATTAATACACATAAAAATTATGCGCTTAGAATGTTCCGCTTGCATAGTCAGGCATTAAGCTTATTAAATGATAATAAAATGGCAACAAATAATTTACTCCGGTAGAGGAGGATTGATTTTTGAATTTATCGACTGACAGTGATAAAGCTTTTATCTCGTAAAAAATAAATACGATCGTCATTTACAAAAAATCATCATTTTATATACATTATTTATAATATATTCGTAAAAGCAACATTTCAATTACGTGTATAAAATTTTTTTTTCATATTAAAAAATAAACAACATTTTTAAAAACACTTTGTCATGCGTTTTGCAAATTTTCAATAATTTTTGTCCCCGTAATTATGCAGTCAGATGTTAAAACTAATCGTAAACCGGCAGCTTTTTCAATCAATCTGCAAGCCGAAATTTCACTGTAAGTTATTCCACCTATGACACAAATCACCACTGTTTGTGGGTGTATTGGTCCTTGAATTCCACCGTAGCTACTTCCAACTGTATTTGCTAGGTCTTCAAAGCTTTTTGGATCAGTTATTTGAGAATTTACAACATTTAGAATTTGAGCCTGTAATAAACAAGTAAATGAAAGTAAAACAATGACTATAATTCTTGTATGCAAATTACTTACAATGAGAGGTACATAAGAACCGCTAAAAACATAACTGGGACATGTAGGACCTTTCAAATCTAAAGGTTTTGATGGGTTTGGAAATAGTTTTAAACGCTTGGCATTCGCTACCCATTTACTTGTCCAATTAGGTAGTCTTTTCAGGACATTTTCAGATTTTGTGCTGATAAGACCAGCTGTTTCCATTTTATAGAAAAGAGGTATATTTGAATAATTATGAGCATGTAAATGTGCTTTCTGTATGGGAAAAATTTCACTGTTTGTCACACCATCACTTGCAATTGATAGTAAGGAAAACAATCTCAAACTTCTGTATGGATGATCATCTGAAAAATATTTATGTTTTACAATAACTTTGTATAAGCTTTTTTTACAAATTCTTTACCTATGTTTTTAAGAATATACTCTAAGCATTCTGATCTCTTGGAACAATCAAGAATTGAATTTTCAATTGAATGCAAATCTTCAAATTGGGAGGCTAAAGCATTTACAGCTGCTTCACATGCAGAGATGTGAAATTCAAGTTGTTGCTTTAATTTTGCTGTTTTCTGAAGTGTTGTTTGAACATAATGCTTCATTTCTGATAGTTTCATTGATTGCATATTTTCTTGTTCAGCTAAAAATGCATGTACAATATGAATATAAAGTATAATAGCATAATAATAAATAATTATATTAATAAAATATACTTTTAAGAGATTTGGCTTTAGTACGCAGAGTTGGGAAGGCATCACTGAAGTGTTTATCTCTTACTTCGCTATACACTGGATCTTGACTAGGATCTAATTTTGTTTGAGATTTACCAAGAGTTGCATTACCTAAGTTTATGTCAATTACTTCACTAATTAAACCTAAGTATGTAACTGGTGTTAAGAGAGTTGAAACAAGATCTTGACTTCTATCCATTATTATTAAAGCTCCAAACTCATCTTTTGGACTTGGAGTACCCAGAGATTCGTGTAAATCAGATACCATTTTCAAAACTTGTTGACTATGTTTACCCATTGTGAATGTAAAATTAGGGGCTCCTAAAACCATTCGCAATGACCAAAGGGCTTTAGCCATCGCTGGAAGAAGTCTGGTATCTTTATGGTAATATAAATCTGTAAACAATGGCGTTTCTAATGATAAAACATTTCCATCTGTTTTGATGAATTCCCAAGCTAAGGGCCTCAATGTAACTAAACCAGTTAATCCTGTAATTTATTTAGACTTTAGAAAATGTAACACAGATTCAAAAATTAATCATTTCAAATCTTACCATTCTCTTCCAAAAGATTTTTTACTGCGATAGGAACAAATGGAGCTACTAACACATGATTATTTAAACCAGATGTTTGAGTATTTTCAGATCTTATGTGATCAAACACATGTTGGCACCCAATTAAATCACAAGAAACAGCATAGATACGTTGATTATGACTTGGCTTTAATCCTTGAGCAAATTTGAAAATTTTTTCCACACCATATTTCCTAAATAAAAATAAAATGTTAAAAAATAGTTTCTCGTACCAGAAATTTTTAATAGAATCATACATCGAACTGTCACTTACTTTAAAACACTGACACCGATAAAAGAATCGAGTATTTTCATCAATTTTTGTTCAATTATAAAATCCTTTTTTCCAGCGATAGCATCCAAAATTTCAACCAATTTTCTTTGGCTAATCTGTTGAAATGCATTTAGCCGGTCATTCAGCGTCGTATCCATATTTTTCGTCGAAATGAATTATTCAGTTGGAAAAAAATTTCAACCGCACATTACGGAGAGAAATTTTTTTTATTTACATTCCTTCATGTTTTGATATGTGTTTTGATGCAGACTAAGACCAAGTCGTGTCATAAGTTTTCATTCATGCCCGCACCTTATTCTCTGTAGTGATGTTACTCTTACTAATTGTCATCGGAAACTCTCGACGACCACAACTAGCGCCGCGCGCGGCAAGCGTACTTCGTACAGCAGACAGCTGATCGTTTACGTTGCCACGTGCTGCGCCGCGCTGAACACATTCTACCCCCAGATCTAAATTTTTCGTCGCCCGGTGTTGGCCTAGGTTGTATGAGGCTGACTCTGCATACAATCTATGCTAAGGGTTTTTATGAAAAAAAGTTTTCATCTTCGCATTCTTGAAAAACCTCGTCCTTGTCTGGTTCTTGTGTGCATGTTCGTTGTGTCGAGGAAAATCATCTTTGAAAGATATTGACACAACTGCGAACTCTGTTCCTTGCCAACAAAATGGCTAGGTACTACGGACCGAGGCCGGAGAATGCGCTCAAAGAAGCTAATGGTAATTTATTCAAATGATCTATATTCGAATAAACTATGCATAGATTCCATATGGAATCTGTGGAGATCATTTTTCTAAAAATCTTGGCAGATTAAATGAAATTATTACTTGTATGACTTGGCACTCACGGCGTTTATGATTTTTCCATATTTCTAATGCTGCGAATATTTTATTTACAGATCTCATTCAAGTAAGCAAGAATGAAAGAGCTCTTGACACTCTGCTAAAGATATTCAATAAAAAATGGAACAAAAACTGGGACGAATCTGTTCTTGAACCAATTGTATGCAAAATCTTAAAACTCTGTGTAGAGCAAAAGAAACCTGCCATTGCTAAAGAGGTTCTGTTCCAGTACAGAAATAGGTTCCAAGCTGTGAATGTCATCAGCGTAGAAAATGCTTTTATGTTTTATTTGCGCCTGGCTAATGAAAAAACAGAAGCAGCTCGAAAGCAAAGTCAACAAGCTCTAATTGACATTGATGATCTTGATAATATGGCTACTCCAGAAAGTATTTTACTTTCTGCTGTCAGTGGCAATGATGACAAAAGCAGAAGTGATAGAGCTGTTTTGACTCCATGGGTCAGATTTTTGTGGGAATCTTACTGTTTATGTATAGAGCTGTTAAAAACTAATGCACATTTAGAGATTTTGTATCATACTATTGTTTGTATGACTTTTGCATTTTGTTTGGAGTATGAACGCAAGACTGAATTCCTAAAATTATGCACAAAATTGCGCAAACATCTGGAATATAGTAAAGTACCTCAAATGCCATCTAATATCTCCATCAACAAATTAGAAACACAAAAACTCAATCGAGAAACTAGAATGATGCAATTCGAGGCAGCTATTCAAATGGAACTCTATCAAGAAGCCTACAAAACCATTGAAGATATCCATGGTTTAATGAGTATTTCTAAAAAATTGACATTTCCAAAAACCATGGCCAATTACTACCAAAAGTTGCTAATAGTTTTCTGGAAAACAGACAACCATGTATTCCATGCAGGAGCTTTGTTGAAATTGTTCAACTTGTCACGAGACATGAAGAAAAACATGTCCTCGAAGGAACTCCAGGAAATGGCTGATAGAGTTATTTTGGCCATTCTATCAATTCCGTTGCCATCTGTTCATCCAGAATTGGATTGTTTTATTGAAACTGATAAAAGCCCCCAAGAGAAAATGCAAAAGCTTGCTGCATTACTTGGATTTCTCCAACCTCCTTCCAGAGCTTCTTTGCTAAAGGATATTGATCGGCTCAATATATTATCCCTTGCTTCCCGTCAAATTCAGGACCTTTACAACTGGTTGGAAGTGGAGTTTCAACCACTTGAACTGTGCAGTAATGTTGAATCTGTTGTCGCCCAACTGCGTCAAGATGAATCAAGCCCATTACTGCAGTATATTCCAGCCTTGCAAGACTTAACACTTGTTCGATTTGTTCACCAGGTATGAATACTATTTAATAGACATTACTTTGAAATTTCATTTAACAAAAATGTTTTGTTCAATTTAGATTTCGCAAGTCTACCAAACGATTCAATCAACAAGATTGATTGAGTTGGCCAAATTCACCGACGTCTTTCATCTCGAACGTCTTCTAGTTGATTGCGTACGTTACAACGACATGCAGATACGTATCGATCATGGCAAGAAAAGCATCCATTTCGGAGTTGACTTGTCCGAGGCCCAACGCGAGGATCGTCCCGATGGTCCGGTGTTGCAAGCTATGCCATCCGAGCAGATCAGATGTCAATTGGTCAACATGGCTACGGTGTTCCATCGCGCCAACGATATCATTAATCCAAACAAGAAGAAACAAGAGCGCGAAGAGCTCCGTTCACGGATGGTGCAATACTATCACGACACGAAGGGGGAAGAACACCAGCGTATTCTTGGGCGTCACAAGATCATCGAAGAGCGCAAGGAGTACATCGAGCATATGCACTACGTGCGCGAGCAAGAGGAAGAGCATCGCCAAGAGGAGATTCAACGTCAACAACGATTGGCCGAACTGAAGCGCCTCGAGCAGGAGAGAGAAGAGCGAGAACGCAAACGTCAGCAGTCCGAGATTCAGCAAGTCAAGGACCACGCGTTGAAGGAAAAGATGCAGCAAATCTCGCGAACGAGTCACGGTCAGAAGTTCCTGAAAAAGCTCGATGAAGATGAAATCAAGAAGCTCGATGCCGAGCAAATCGCTGCTCGCGAGATGGAAGAATTGCAAAAAGAGCGCAAAGAGACTCTGCAAAAGCTCAAGTCTCAAGAGAAAAAGGTCGATTACCTGGAGCGCGCCAAGCGCTCCGAGGAGATTCCTCTCGTCTTCAAAGCTATCGAGGAAAAAACCGAGCGAGCGAAACAGCTCTGGGAACAGCAAGAAGCTGAACGCATTCGAGCCGCTGTCGAGGAGCGTAACCGGATGATGGCTGATCGCGAGCGACTCGCAAAAATGCAAGAGGCAGCCAGTGGCTTTTTAGAAAGAATCATGGTCAACCGTAAGCAACTTTACATGGAAAAATTGGCCGCCTACGAAGCGAAGCTCGAGCAAGAACGCGCCAAGCGTTTGTTGCAGCGGAAGATTCGGCGAAAGATCGAACGCAGGCTCCAGTGGGAAAGGTACATCATCGAGTCCGCCGAAAAGAAGAGAGCGGAGGAAGAGAGAAAGCGGATGGAAGAAGAGAGGAAGCGCATGGAGGAGGCGAGGGCTCAGCGAGAAATAGTGGAAAATGCACGAAGACGAGATGAAGAGATCAAACAAGCCGAGAGATTGGCTAAACTCGAAAAACAATCCGAGATCGATCGACGACTTGCGAGTGAGAAAAAATTGGAAGATACAGAGAGAGCCAGACCTCAATCTTCCAGTTGGAGAAGGAATGGTAGGAGCCGTTTGATATTTTAAAACTCATCGAGTTTTTCATTGTAAATTATACAACGTTTATCTATCTTACAGTGGGAGGAGAATCTGGTGTTGACCGTAGCAGCTCTTGGCGTATGAAACCAAGAGATCGCGACATACGGTCAATGGAGAACTGGAGAAATGCGCCTAAGAACTAACAACCGCGCACCGGTTCGCGATTTATCAAATCGAAGAGATCGAAAAGTAAGTCTTCTTTGGATAAGTTACTTTTATCTTACGCGATATTTTAGAGACACGAATAATAATTTATTTATTTTTTTGTTCCAGGAGAGATCTTCTAAAAGAAAAGGAAACAATAATTATGTATTGATGAATTTATTGTTGATTTGAATAAATTGTTTTTTCACTTGCATATCTATTTAAAGTTATTTACATTTAACAAAATTATATTTGCTTGCTTCAATTTCGTCTACGTTATAACGATCAATAATAGAATTATTGTACACTTTTACTACAATTCTGGTAAAGTCATACGTGAAGTTTTTTTATTTAACCATTACGAACGACTACATCGATCTTATGATCTAAAAGACAAGTGAGTCATCACTCGCATGCAAAATAAAATTAAAAAATAACATTTGCGAACAATAGTGTTGGGTCGTTCTGAGTCCCGTTTGAATTATCGACAGGTTCAAATAAGAGCGGCAACAGCACCGTGCATGAGATTTGTCACTCATCATCTGTTGCTATTTCATGTGTAGTCTGCTAAATACTAATCAGTAAATTAGGTTAGGAAGCCAATAAACTCAGACGGCATTTAGTCCGGTGTTTTGATGTTTTGAACTTCTCGTGTCTGTATATAAAAATTTAAATGGTCTTTGGAATGTTAGTTTTGTATGTATCATCAGTACAAAAAAAGCAAAACCAGTGATAAACAGTGACAATTTTTGAATTCCGCTTTATTTATATAGTCATGAGTGATCTTAATGTGTAATTATAAAAAAAATATCATAACAAATATCATTAAATTAATAACTTGATTAATAATTGTTTCCTTGACAAATTAACAGTGATTTGAGCATACCTTTTCCTACTCCAAGGGAAGCTGATGTTGCTTATCAAACATTGAGAGTGGATTCAGAGCCTTCGAGGAGTGGAGTAGTAAAGACTTTGAATTTAGAATCCAATTTTCTAAAAGTGTCAGTATATTCTTCATTTTTATTTTAACTATTAATTTTACTGATCTTGAACTTAATTCTAAAACTTTTCTTCTTCTTATTGCAGTAATTTTACTGGTACAGAAGCTCGTAAAGTGAGAGTGGCTCTGACAGCATTCTTTGACTCGCTACTTCTGGTCACTGAAACAATGAATGAATTTGGAAAACCAGAGGCTTCTTACGATCACTACTAGAATTTAAATTATATTTCTTTATATCTTTATAATTAAGAAAACTCAAATTGTATAAAATGTCTGAAAGTACACCAGCACCATACCCGCCAAGATCGGGCAATGGTTTTGCCTTATACTTAGGATCTAATGTATTGTTATTGTTGTACATTTTATGGGCTTTTATTCCTGATGAATTTTTAGAAGATACATTAGGTTTAACATATCTGCCAATGAAGTATTGGGCAATCTCTCTTCCAATTTGGAGTTTGACTGCTATTGCTGTTTTTGCATTTGCTATTTATCCAGCCATCAACATGACATTGACTCCGGATGTTGATGACTTGAGAACAATTACAGATGAGTATAGTTTACCGCTGCAAGAATATAATCCCGATGGTATACCACCTGTTTCTGATATACCAATCACAGAAGTCTCCAGGGTTTTATACTTGCAAGAAGATTGAAATATACTTTTGATAAACAAAGTTGATTTGTTCATTTTTATTTCATCTAAAACTCATGAAAATGTCATAGATTTACCAAAAACTCAGTAGAAGAAATAGAAAATCACCAGGTAATAATTATATAATTTTCAATGTTTTAGTTCATGAAATTTCATTTTATTAATTATTAAAATAATTCCTCCAATTGGTACACACGCATGACAAAAGTATACATGATCATCATCGCGTATTATAATTTTTTCCTCTACTAATTTTATCTTGCTTGAGAACATCGATTTTTATATAATTAACATAGTCAGATATAACATTTAGTCACAATATACTTTGAATTTGCATTTCAATATGGACATCATTATGATTATTATTTGTGATTATTATTATTTTTACTATATAAATCTCTCATTCCTCTCGCATTGACGATACGTACTAGAAACTTTTTTTCACAGCTATAGCCAATGTCCAGAATTGTCAATGCGATACAGCAACAAATGATTCATTTTCCAAAATAGACTCTTCAACATAGATAACTAATAGAAAAATTAACGATTTCGCGATTTATACACTCCAAAGACGTCTCGTGTAATATATACCTTCATATACAACTTATATGGCACATCATATCTGTGTACGAATACTGTTTTCCATGCCTCCAATTTCTTTTTTTGCACACTTCAATATAATATAATACATTCTCATTGTGTCGTCGAATAGTCAACATTTATATACAGAACAGCCTCTTCGATTCGTGTCTCTCGTCGCACTCCTCTCTCGAGTTGTTGTTTTTTTTTTATTTTTCTTTTCGTCTTCATTTTTTTTTTATTTTAATACACATCTAACATCAGCGACGCGCCCCTGCGCTCGCGAAAGTGCAAAATACTACATAGATTCCGAATAACTACTCAAGTGACGCACCGATAGTCGAATATCAATTTCAATCTCTGGCCGCGAGGAATGCATTAAAGTCGAGAAAAAAAATATATAGTCGAGAAACGGATAAGTACATATCTACCGTATACATGCATAATATATACACAAATTAAGTATTTTTTTTCTGCGATTAATTATTCTATCTATAATACTCCTGGGTGAGGCTCAAAATTTTTTAAAATAATCGCACGACGGGGTCGTCGAAGTTGGTTTTTTTCGATTTCGTATCCTTTGTAGATAAGGAAAATAGTAATGAATTCTAGACAATGATTTCGCTTGTATGCGGAAAAAATCATTAGCGAAGTCTGTTTTTTTTTTCAGATGCTTTAGATTCTTAAAAAAATTATCAACAATTTTAACGATTTATTGACTTGACGATCTATATATTTTTTTTAAATAAAAAAAAAATGACCCCAGTTTAACGCATAATTATTTAAAAAGCTCTGATCCTTACCCTCCTATTTTTCGGGCGACTATCTGGAATACTCCAAGTATTTATAAAGTAAAATAAACCTAAACGATCCATTATCATGAATTGAACTAAGAGAAATTCGGCGATTCGCTCACAACGCAATACAATAAAAAATAATTATACAATTAGTCGGCGACATCCTTATACGCGAAGGATGCCGCAAATTTAACTAGAATAGTAAACATCGTACGCGCAAGTACGAATACTTCTTCTTTTTTTTTTTCTACTTTCGTTTGCCGTCTATAAACGAGGAGCAACAACGAAATCATTACATGAATAAAAAAAGATACAATAGACACTTTTTTTTTGTTAATACTGCTTCGGTCGAGATTTTGTGCGAGGACTTAAAAAAATATTTTTAAGCTCAACATTGGAATAATCATAATCGTAATCCTAATCATCTAAGCGATATATACGTACGAGATATATATAGTTAATATATATTTATATGCGATAATATAATATATATTTTGTAATATGTATCATGTTTTGTGCGTAAGGACGGCGCGCTATAAGGAAGCTCTCCCACTCGGCCGCGACGAACTCATATACCGTCACGCCCCTCCTATCCGTCTTTAATGTAACAATTATATTATCGTTCTAAAATTTTTGTTCTTTAATAATAGTCGCAAATAATACTTGGAAAATTTGAGCTGTCGATCCGTTGACAATCTCGTTCATTCTCTTTCACTTATCGTATACTTAAGTATATGGATTTTCTCTGGTCTTCTCTTTAATAGAGCAGCGCCGCGGCCCTCGCGATGGCGTCCGCGTCCAGATCGATGCCGCCGTTGTTACCCTCGTTGTCCTGTAGCTCTTTGTACCACTGCGATCGGAAAGAGAGAGAGAGAACAAAAATAAGTCAAAATGTTTATCAGCCGTGAGTATAGGAGGATCGTCGCGAACGACCAATTACGGCATTGGCATGTCGCGCGACGCGTCCCGTCGCAAAGTCTGTGACTAACTGAAACGCAAACGCGTGGTAGCAAAAAAAAAAAAAAAAAAAAAAAAAAAANTATAGAAAAAAAAAAAAAAAAAAAAAAACAATAACAACGACAAACAAATTCACCCGCGTTCGCTCGCGTGTCTCTTATATTTTTAATTGTATTACGCACGCGTTTCAAAAAAGCGTGATATTTTGTCGCTGTCCACACCTCGGAGCTCGTGTGTGTGGCCGGCCGCCGCCGTCGCTGCCGCGCTTTTCGAACCAAATTTAGGTGGCCTCACGCGATCGAGAGCTTTTATATATCGGCGATCGCATCATCCGATGCGGAAATTCCGCCCGCGAAAAAGTCGCTTGCATACTTCAAAAATATGTCGATCGATCGATCGATTATTCTTACCTTATCGGAGAGAAGCCTCGCGAGCGAGGATTGGGCGCGCCGCTCGGCGTTGATCTGGTTGCTGGCCTCCACCCCGACGTTGTCGTCGGACAGATTTTCGGAGAAGGGCCTGTTGCTGTCGAAAACGCGACGCAGCTGCGTCACTTCGATCTGTTCGGGGCTGCGTCTCTTACGACCACTGCAACGACGAAAAAAAAAGTTCACACGCGTTAAAATTTTTTTGTTATTCCTAATACAGTATTACGTTTATTTATACGATTACGATGAAAACGGACTTCCGTTTTCTTTCGTCGCGTTTCCGAATATCGTCGACTTATACGCGGTCGAGTTTTCGTCGACGCGACGCGACAGCGAGAAACTCAGACAGTTGGGAGTCTTGCTGATCCGCACACGTGTAATTTAAAATACATTCGGATACGTTCGGAGGGTGTAAACTTTCTTTTGATCCAACGCCAAGATCGACACGCGCGCACCGCGCGGGTGACTTTTCTCTTTCCCATCGACCGAGAGACCGAGAGAGATGAGCTAATAAGGAAATCGATGAATTTTCAATATCGCCGCGCGCGCGACACCTTTCGCCCGCGAATATCGTATATGTTATAATCGATACAAGTAACGTCATTCACGCGCTCGCGCGCGCATTTCTCGATGATGAATCATTTTGAAGAATTTACTTTTTCTTCTCTTTTATTTATTTATGCCCGAACTTCGGTCGTTATAAAGAAACGCATATCCGCGCGCGCGCGCGCGTATAGACGTTCGCTCGTTCACGGCTATTGACAAATTTTTTGTTCGCGAGCTTTCGCGTTTTGAAAATATACTCGATCGAGGTTGAGAATTTTGCGGTGCAGCAGGGGAAATTTCCCACGAGCGACATTGACACGATGGTGTAATTAATTCGTCGAGTGCGCTTCATTGTTGCGCGCTCGCGCTGTGCTGTCCGCGCCAAAGATTTCTAATTAAATTGAAGTAACTACCAGCAGCGCGTGGGCATTTCGAGATTCGAGTTAACGCGGCCAATTGTTCAGTTCGCGCGATAGATTTGTACAGAGCTATGAGAGGGCCATCATCGATTCCCCCGGGAAATATTAAACAAAAGGGCGCGTATCGGACAATAACGGAATTGCGTAATAGTTGCTATGTGACTTACATTTTCATGGGGTCGATTTTGCCAAAACCAACCGGTATGGTGATCATTTTGCCTCGCATTTTCGATAAGGCGATCAGCGTCTCGAGCTCGGCCAATCGTTGATCCGAAACTCGTTTCGGCCGACTGTAATCAGAGAGAAAGAGAGAAAAAATAAGAAAATTATTACCAACGCACATACACACACGACTCGACGATCGCGCCGAGTCCTTGATCTGTTAAACTGCGTGAATATATTTTCCGCGAGTAAACTATATGTACACCTGTACGGCCGTTTCTTGATGTGCACGTATACGCATACACACATTTCGTGAAATAATGTCAATATGAGGACGTGTCCGCGCTAATCTGTACTGCAGCTTCTCGGGTACGAGTACTTGTATTATATACGACCGTCCGCCGCTGCAACGGAATCAAGAAATTTTTTCCCCGTATGATCATTATTTCAATTTTTTTCTTCTTCGTTTTCTCCATTTATTCTGAAGCTTATGCACGATCACTCTGAAAATGTATTTAAATCACTCGTTTCGTGCGTGATTATTAACAGACGTTATAATGTTCGCACGCAGAGCATTTCTGGTGCATTCAAAATGACACTCGATTCGAGCATCGTCCGGGAAAATTTTTAGTTGCGGATACATCTGGAAAAACGCGGTTTTTCATCTATCGACTATCTGTCTTTATCTCGATTTAATTTGCGCCAAGTCGACACAAGCCTCTATATTCGGTTGCAGGCACATGGGAGCTCAAATGCGTCGTAGTTTATTAATCGGCGCTGCATCGTGCAATTGCATCATATATAATACGATACACATTCGTACACGCGTCGCGTCGCGTGAATGCAGCACCAAAAATTGTCGACGTTTTCGTTTCCGTTATAAAATCGTAAATTCGTCGCATCTTTGCATCAGATTTTTTTTTGCAATAGCGTGCACATTTTTTACCACGAGGGTCTAGAAGGAAATTGTGAGTTACAATGAGAATCGGATGCAATCAAAGTCATCGGTATTACATGAGATAACGAGGTCTCGAGACTTTCGTATCGATACGCATATTTATAAGAGCGTGATCGATCCTTTCAAAAGAATGAATGCACTTGAAATGGAAAAAAAAGAAGAAAGACCCAAAAAATGAAATAGAATTAAAAAACTTTTTCAACGATGCATCTCATTGTCGAAAAAATGACAAAAGCTCCTTTTCACGGTAAAAGCAGTCGAAAGCGCGGAATAATGTACAGTGTAACAGTTCCCTCAAAAAATAATACACAATATAAAACATTCAATTCACTAAAATCAGCGCACACACGTACTTTGATTGACTCGTATCACTTCTGTCGTTAATAGTTCAAGGCTCAAGCTCTGCAAGCTCGAGCTTGATAAAAAAAGTTGCATACAAAAATCAACTCACCTCAGTAATTTCATCGGCTTTGCCTCGCTGATCTGGACACTCAGTACGAGGCTGAGAATCGCCGCCGTGGTCGCGACCAAAACAATGCCACTCCTTCGGCTCATTTTGCTTTTTTCTTCCCTTACGGCACTTTTTTTCTTGCACCGAAGATTTTTTCTCGCGTTCGCTTTCTCGAACTTTTTTTCTCTTACAGTCTTTCGTAGATTCACCAAGCACTCGCGATAAACTTTTTTTTATTACTCGCCCACCAAAATGGGGTAATAAAACCAACAGAAACAACAGTAGTAACAAGAACAATGGAAATATCGGAATTTCTCTTGGCTTCTGTCGAGCCTCGACACGATCATGAAAAGGGGTGCAGTAGTATGTACGGCTCGCTCGCGCGCTTCCGTTCGTACGTCGTATCAATGAATGAGCTTTGAGCGTACAACCGATCCGCGATCAACCTGTTGATCCGAAGCGAAGGAGAATCAAGCAAGCGTGTGATGCGCGAGAGTAGTGGTAGTAGTTGCAAATGTCGTCGGTATAGTTATGGCTTGGTGATAGGCCAAGCGCAAGATTATATACTACTCATCTCGGGCGTCGCGCGCGTCGCGTGCGAAATGCGCGCAGAACTTCGCTATGTGTGTGAGTGTGTAACGTTTGCATGTAGCCGCAATAGGAGCGACGCGCGCGCTTGCGACTTCTCCCCCCAGGTACGCTTTTTAGTTTCTCTCTTCTCTCTTGCCTTGCAAATATATGTATAGCTGCATTCACTAGCTCAGTCAGTAGCATAGGTGTGAGCCATCCCCTCTATTATATTCTTCATCTCTCTCTCTCTCTCTCTCTTTCTGTTTCTTTCTCGCTCTGTTGCACGCGCAAGACCAACCACTCGCACAGGCACTCGTATCAATCTGCTATACGCGCGGTATCGATCATATCCGCGCGCAGCAGGACGTCGAGATTTGCATAATTTATTAAATTTTCGACTTTTACAAGCACGGGCTTACTTCCAAGGATCGAGCTTTAAAGCTCAAGGTTCGCGCAAGGCTATGTATTATAAGGTGGTTATTACAGGACCATGCAAACAGAGCGAACTCGCGGTTCTTTTCTTTATTGCCCCCTCGCCGGCGCGCCCCGAAACATAAAGCTCGCCGAAACGTCTGGATCGTGCGCTACATCGTGCACGTATATATAGGAGAGCTTTTACGATCGTTGCGTAATGCATATGTGTGTGTGTAGCGTAGGGCCAATTTCACGCGAACCATAAATATATACGCATAAAACTGGAAATGTGTACGCAAACAAGCCCGGGCGATGCTTTCGATTAAGTATTTTGATGGATACTCGCGTGGGCTAGTTGTAGGGCCTATCCATTTTCCATCAGCTATATACCTTACGTACGCATAGGAGATTTGATGGGCTTGTTGACTTGTTGCACGCGACGACGCGATTCGACACCCTCGTACAAGTTGGGACACGTGACGCGCGAGTGGCCCTCTCTGGGATATGTGTCTCGTTCGACGAAATTCACCACCCTCCCTGGCCCTCCACGAGTTGGCGCGAGAACACGATGTACTCTGTACGTGCCAAACGCATATAAACGCGAGATCGATATTACAACCGATGAGCGTCCGCAAGCTCGTTTATTCGAGTATATACAAAGAAATGGACGTTTAATTGCCGCGAATTATCGTGTATATCGATATAAAAGCCGCCGCAATCGTTATAAATGCACGACGCGAAAGTCAACAAGCAGGACTTTCTTCTTTTTCTTCTTCTTCTTCTTATTGCACCCATCGTCCTCGAAACTTTATGTATAGTGAAAAATTTATGTAAGCCGGGGCAATTAGCGCGTGTGTAAGTGAGTACACGAAACGACGTTGTAATAAATCGATCTAATTCTGAGTCATCGCGGGCCTTGCGACCCGAGACGATTAAAAACCAAAGAGCTGATTTAAGCCTGTATTTATATATGTGTACGGCGTTTTTTTTTTTTTTTTTTTGTAAAATTTGACGATCAGCCGCGTTGCGTGTCCGCAGGTGGCAATTCGATGCAATACACACGGCGCGCAAATAAATGCAATGAGTCACGTCGGGACACGCGGGATCTTTATTGTGTATACCGAATTCTTAGGCGCCGACGATGGGATTGATGTATCACGCGTATTACGGTCTTCCGCGATCGAATGCAATCGCATATACATACGAACATTTTTATGTGTATATACATATGTGTGTTCCTGATACGCGAGTAGCACTTGCGCAGACCGGGAATCGGTCGTAAAGCTGATTCATTCAACCGATTTAACCTATTTACAAACGAAGCGCTTCGTTATCACTCGATCGAGTCGTGCGCGTTTGTATACATCGCACTAGCCTTACACGCGCGCGACCGAAGACGCTATGCGATTTGCGTCGTTGACGACGCAACGCGCGCAGCTGATGCAAAATCACGATCGCTCCAGTGATATATTAGGCGCATCTCGGAGGAGCATTGAAACAAAAACGCGATACCCTGCGCGATATTGCATCAGCTGCGCGCGTTAACGTACATCTATATGATAGGCTCCCGGCGCGTGCCGCGAGCATGTAAATTCACGCGCGCAGCGATGCAGCGCGGCTAAAACGTAAAACGTAGTGGAACTTTATGTAAGGAAGACCCCCGATTTCTTCTCGTTTTGCGGGCTCGGGTGGGCGAAAAACTTTGCCCAGATATAGAAGTATACAGGAAACACGAGGAAAGCATAGAGTTTCTAATGTAGGTCGGTTAGAGGGCTTTACTTTTAACCCAGAGAGTAAGGACAACGCAAAAAACAACCCCTAAACTCGAATATCTTTCAATTACTCGCTCGGATTTTTGTACCGCGTAGTTTTTTCTTTCGCGACGCGTAGATACCTACGGTGTGCGTCAGATATACGGGCACTTGAAAATCTATATTTTCTTCCTTGAGCAATGCGGAAAAAGAATCCGAGAATCCTCCACTCGACGAGTCGCCGGTAATAGTTTTCTATTGGAAAAAAACGAAAATATCACAACGCGATTGCCTACCCACGCGCGCGCGAATGACGCTTTCCTTTTGTATATAGTATTCATAAAATAAATCTCCGCCCTTTGGTTATATCTTATAAATTATTATTATTATCGATCTGTCATTGAAAAATTGAACGATCAAAGTTGATTGTTTTAAGTGAAGTAACATCCTAAATAATCAGACTCCGCAATTTCTTTGCTCACTCTCCGCATGTGCCGCGCGTCTCCTGTCTATTCTTGCAGTTTTGTTTTGGTCAAACCAAAATGAGGCTTCCTGGATCCATCAGTCTGAAAGCCCAATGCGTTTATAATCGCTGTATTTTATATAAGCTTTCGTGTCAACGTCCTTTTTCCGACTGCATTTCGTCGCTCGCTGGATTCTCTTTTTTTTCGATGCTGTACTTTATCCTCCAGAGAATTGACACTGCAGCGCGTTTTGCATTAAAAATCAAACGCTCGAAACGTTTGTTTCTCTTTGTTTTTCTTCTTTTTTCTTTTTTTTTTTTGTTTTGGTTGGTTGTACCCCGCGTATTCGCGTGAAACGTGGGTGTGAAGTATATGCACACACACATACATCATCGGCGTGCTCATAATAAGACGATATGTTTGTCAGCACCTCGGGAGCTCGAGACCGGTATATCTTCTACGCATCAAGGACGAATTTATGGATATGCACGTACCAGACTCAGCGTCGCCTTTCCATCCGCAGCACGACGAGTGCATCGAGAGCATAATAATTTATGCCGTGCGCGATACGTGGCAACGAGCCGATCGCGAGCGCGCGAACGTATTATACAGACATTTTCGCGCAATGAGTGTATCGTCGTGTCGTTCGTGCGGTCGAGATTCCTCGAGCCGAAGAGAGCCGCAACCGCAGATCTTTCGTGCATATTTCTCGAATACGATAATTGAACGAATTCGTTGTAACAATTTTACAGATAAAACTTAATTAACGAATACCTACGGGGGTGCGAAGAGCAAACGAGCAACAAGAAAAGGACATCGTGGCGTAGAAAATTCGTCCTTCCAAAAATATAGATCCATCACCCGATGCCGCACATTCGAGCTTTAAAGCTCGCTTATGTTTTATTCTCGTCGTAGTATTGAAACGTAATATTAGAAAACCACGTATGTACATTGCCTATCTATCAATGATGTGTACTCGCATTCTCGCCTTTATTAGATATTTTACGCGATGTCATTGAATCGCGTACGATCAGTCCGGAAGTAAGATAACGACGCGCAAATCTTATCTATGCGTATATTGCAATTACACACGATGCACGCGTGTATATATGCATCTTGGCGACACGCGACTCTATCGATTTTCAAAATGACACGATTAGGGAAAATGAGTCTTGGAATATTTTTAGACTGATACAATTAGAAAATTTTACACTTGTGCGATTCGCGATGGAAATAAAACCACACGAACTTTTCTTCGTTAGAAATTTCAGATGACTACTCGCTGAACGCGCTCTAACTAGTTAACTTTTTGTCCTTCGACAATGCCATCGCGAAACTGCGCAGTACGCAGTACTGCGGAATCTCGCACGCTTCGAGGGAGTTGAAAAAAAAAAAAAGTTGAAAAATATCGTATACAGTCTCGTTGTACCGGAGCGACGACGACAAAAGCGCGTTCGACGTATATAGCGATGGTTACGATCCACGTTCGCGCAGGACAAACGATACGCGAAACATGCCTTCGCGATTCCATTGTCCTTTTTTTTTTCTCGTTATATCGATATCTCAAATTGTATATATACGTAAGGGCGTACGGTATTGCGTCTCGCTGTAACATATAACTGCATATATGTATCTCCTGTAAACGATGCGCGCGTGTGCGTAAGTACGTGTGTGTACGCGTGTGGGCCGGTGTGACGCATTTGTGCTGCCGCGTGCTGTGTACCGGTTGAGGAGAGCTCCGGCGATATGCGTATACGTCATTGCGATGCGCCAGACAGCAGCAGCAGCTTCCCCAGGTGCACATTGCTCGATTCGTAAAATAACCGAACGTCATTTTGCTCTCTTTATTCCTTTCTCGCTCTGTATCATGCATATACGCAGCTCCCGGGCTAAACGAAGTTTGTCCACTTTTCGTTATCGATCGGGGGGCCGCTACGAGAACGAAATCGAGTTATAGTTCCTTTTTTTTGTCGTTTTTTTTTGTTTTCAGTTATTATGACACCGATCGAGGTGGCCCGCGCAGATCCTTTATCGTATTTTTATATTTATAAATAGAAAAGATGTTGTTTTACTCGCTTCACAAGATTCGCGAGAGTCACGGGTAAGTTTCCCCGATCGAGTGATTCACTCTGCGCTGTTACGATGACGATTTGAAATTATAATCGATGCCGGCCGCGCCAGGAGCAACGCGGCGTGCGCACGCACAGCCGGCGGCTGCATTTTTCTTCCATTTTTTCGGCGCTCGATTATAGGCTCTGAAAATACGCACAGCAAACAAGATCCGCGCGAGAGTTAGATAACGACCAAAACATCGTCG